GCTTAAGTCTTTCGCATGCCTCAAACCCTCGGTTGCTTTATGCACACGCGCCGCCCTTCGGGCTTTCCTAATCCTTGGCGCGCGAGGCATCGCGCGCCTCGTCCGTACTCTACGCGCGCCCCTAGCGCGCATCCAATTCGCGCTGCCATTACCCTACACGTGCACCTCTTGCTCTCTTAAGCCCGCGCGGATTAGGCGCCTCGCGCCTGCGCTGCACTCGCGCGCTATCGCGCACCCCCCTCTGCTGTCGTGCACCGTGTGCGTGTGCGCGTCGTCGCCCGTCTTGCCTAAGCCTACCCAGCTTAGGCCTTCGCCCGCGTATGTCCATGCTTCGCTGCTCGCTTCCATTGCGCGTTTGCGCCTTGACCGCCGCGTGTCCCAGCAAGCACCCGCATACCAGCCTTCCGTGCACCCGTGTAAGCTGTAATATCCCATTCAGTTATTAGTAATAAGTATCAGCTTATTTCCAAGATTGAGCTATTTTGAGGCTTAAAAAGTTAAAATTTTAAAGTTTTAAAGTCACACGGGTCGTGTGGGTAGCCACACTGGTCGTGTGAAGTCACACGGGTCGTGTGACTAAAGTGACACGGGTCGTGTGGCTTTACACGGGTCGTGTGACTAGTGACACTGGTCGTGTGACCGACAAAATTTCAGATTTTTATGATTCGAGTTTGATGCCAACTAAAGTGTATTTTGAGCAATTAAATATGCTTAGCTAATAATTTGAAATGTTTGGTAAGGACTTGTTTAAGTGATTAATTTTTACAAGTTTAAATTGTTTAATTTGTTAATTTCTTCACTCCAAATATTTTATTCCAAAGTTTTGGCTATAAATAGAGGCTTCAAAAATCAGATTTTTACACCAAAGTAAAGTATCAAAGTTATATTGAGAGTTTAAGTGAGGAGAAGTATTTTGGAGTAAAGGATTTTCAAGATATTCAAGTTCATATCAAGTCTTTCAAATTTCAAGTCCTTGAAGGAGGTAATTCATGCTTGTATTTGATGATTAAATCATGTTATTAGCAAAGCATGATTAGTATAAGTGATTCTTGTTAGAATTTAAGTATTTGATATCAAGGATGAGTTATAAGTTGAGTAATGATTTAGTTTATGTTGGCATAATAGTATCCATTTCATGTTATTGATATGAGTTATCATGATGAGAAGTTGGTAAAGTTATAAGTTGATAGCTTAATATGATGTGTTATTCATGATAAGTGTAAGAGTATGAGTTTCACATTTGATGATGAGTAAATTGATAAGTTTAGCATCAAAATATTGATAAGCATGCAATTTCATAAATTGTGCAAGTTTAGCTTTAACATGTTGAGTAAACATGTTAATATCATAATTTAATGTTATGATTGAGTTATAAGGATGAGCAAGTTTAATTGTTATAAATCATGAGTTAAGTTTGGTGTTGGTAAGTTGAATATGTTGAGTTATGTATGTGAGTTTGAGTGATTTCACTTATAAGTTTTGTAAGCCAACATCTAAGTAATAAGGCATGATTTATATGAGTTGAGTTTTATCATTGGAGGAAGTTCATCAAGAGTTTGATTTATTCAATGAATTATGATATTTGAGCTATGGTTTGTATATTAATCGGATAAGTTATCAGTTAAAGATTATTCGAGCATAGTACTTAGTATTCTTGCTTATATTTTTTATGTAGCGTGAGAAGTTCGGCTACAAGAACAACACTTTCAATTTTCAAAACAGTTTTCAAGACGAAAGGTGGGGACCCGGACTGGGTATTACATTGAGTATAATAGCTAGATCATGTTCAAAGGTATGTATATGAGTTAAAGTTATGCTTCGGTGGAGGCGCAGTAGCCTTAATAAGCCATCCTAAGTAAGTTAAAGACTCGCCCAGTCCAGACTGGGTTTTGGGGAGGCAGCCCCCAATATGTGATCACGTGAGAATCGGCAATACGGTAGTTGCAAAGTTCAGTTAAAGTTACTGGACCAATGTCCGGGAGAAGCTTATATATACCTGTGATCATGATATTGATATTATTATTAATGTTTACTTTAGTATGAGTTTTTTACGGAGTACAGTTGATTAGTACTCACGTCCCACTATTATCATTTTCAGGTAACAAGGTCGGGCCGAGGGTGTGAGTCAAGCTGTTGTGGTATCGGTTGTGCTTTCAGTTGTGCATTCAGTTGTGGATTCAGTTGTGAGTTTATTAAAGTTTGATTGTGAAATTCAATAAGGCATCGGTTTGTAAATGCCACGCTTAAAAACTTCCGCTATGTATATTAAATTTGAACTTGTGTGACTTGAAGTTTGATAATAAAGTAAAGTTTCTATTTATTATTATAAATGAGTTTAGTTTCACACTTGTTCAAAATGTTAATCTGTTTTATCGAATTTCAGAAAATAGATTTTCAAAGAAGTTAAGTTTTAGTAGCATTCCGAGTTAAGAATATTTCGAAAAAGTTATAAGTATGTTTCAAAATAAGTTGCGAAAATTTACTCTGATGAGCGGGGTGTTACAGTTGGTATCAGAGCCAAAGTCTAAACGCTCTGTATACTAAAATTTTAAGTTTTGAGTAAGAAAGTTTCAGGAAAACCGACCGCACCACACTCACACCTCGCCGACTACTAGGTAAGTGTTGTTAAGAGTTTTTATGAAATTTTAATATATGCAAATTACTAAGTCCATGCTCAATAAGAATCAGATGTCTGAATTTTATCAAAATAGATGCTCAATAAACATAGTATTTTGCCAGTATTTTTCTAAGTGTTCTAAAAGTTTATCTTTTACCATATATTTTAGATGGCACCTCTAGCTAGAAAAGAATTGACGACCTCAGAAGTCGTTGCCCAGTTCCGAAGATTCAATGCTGAGAAATTCTCGGGGCAAGGAGATCCTCGTTTAGTCGAGGAGTGGATTCAGGGTCTGGAATCTATTTTCGAGATCACTGAATACACAGACAGACACCATATTCTCTGTGCACAACTTCAGATGACTGGAGATGCAAGACTATGGTGGAACTCTTACTGGGGCATGCGTCCTGGTGAGAAGGAGCATCTCACTTGGATCCAGTTCAAGGAGATGCTAGAAGAAAAGTACTATCCAGCTCATTACCGTGCTGAGATGGAACGCCAATTCCTGGCGTTAGTCCAAGGTAATCGCTCTGTGGGCGAATACGAGCGAGAGTTTACCAGATTGGGATCTTTTGTCAGTTATCTGATAGACACGGAGGCCAAGAAAGCAAGGCGCTTCCAAGAAGGGTTACTACCAGTAATCCGTCACCATGTAGCCGGGCATTGCATTCAGACCTATGCTGAAGTGGTGACCAAGGCTCAAGAAGTGGATGCAAGTTTCAGAAGAGGAGATGGCCCAGTTCAAGTGCCGCCACTTCCTCAAGTTCCAGTCAGTTCCCCAGTGCAGCCCATGCCTGACCAACCAGCAAAGAACAAACTCAAGAATAAGAGAAAGTTTAAGGGCCCTCAGAATAACCAAGGGCAGCCAGCTCCAGCTAACCGACTACCAGTTTGTGGCACGTGTGGACGTGCTCATCGTGGAGAGTGCCTAGCAGGGCAGAATGTCTGCTATAATTGCAGGAAGCCGGGGCATATGACCAAGGAATGTCCAGACAGGCAGCAGCCTCAAACTCAGGCCCAGCCTCAGCAGCAGAGGCGAGCGGGGCAGCAAGCTCAAGTATATGCTGTGGACCAGGCTCAGGCAGAGGAGAACCCAGGTACCATGTCTGGGATGATTATTTTAAATGATATTCCTATTTTTACATTGTTTGACACGGGAGCATCGCATTCTTTCGTGTCAAAACGATGTATAGAAGCCATAGGAGTTCAACTCCTTGACACTGTTGATCCTCTTGAGGTAAGTTTAGCCTCAGGACAGAAAATAGTGACGAGTTCTAAGGCAGAAAACCTTAGACTCAATATTGGAGGGCGAATCTTGGAGGTCGGCGCGTACGTCATTGAGATGAGGGATTTTGATCTCATACTCGGTATGGATTGGCTAACAAGTTACCGTGATGATATTTGTTGTCATGACCGAGAGGTAATTCTTTATCTTTCGGAGGAGGATCAAATTTCTTTCTACGGCTCGAAGACGCGAACGTTGCCTCGGGTGATTTCTATGGCGAAGGCAAGGAAGATTATAAGACGGGAGGATTGTCAAGGATATTTGGTGAGCATTGTTGATGAAAATTCGAGAGCACAAACACCTCATGATGTTCCAATTGTTCGGGAGTTTGTGGATGTGTTCCCGGACCAATTACCAGGAAGACCACCAAACAGGCAAGTGGAGTTCACAATCGATTTTGTTCCTGGAGCAACGCCTGTGTCGAAGGCACCATATCGGATGGCACCAAATGAATTGCAAGAGTTAAAAAGTCAAATTCAAGAGTTGTTGAAACTTGGTTTCATTAGACCAAGTGTTTCGCCTTGGGGAGCACCTGTATTGTTTGTCAAGAAGAAGGATGGTTCCATGAGAATGTGTATCGATTATCGGGATTTAAACCGGTTAACGATAAAGAATAAATATCCGCTCCCAAGGATAGATGATTTGTTTGATCAGTTGAGAGGGGCTTGCGTATTTTCAAAGATAGATTTACGCTCAGGCTATCATCAACTCAAGATTAAGGAATCTGACATAGCTAAAACTGTGTTTCGGACAAGATACGGTCACTACGAGTTTGTAGTGATGCCGTTTGGGGTAAGTAATGCACCAGCGGTGTTCATGGACTTGATGAACCGTGTTTTCCACAAGTATTTAGATCAATTTGTTATCGTTTGTATTGATGATATTTTGGTCTACTCCAAGAGTCAAGAAGAGCATGAGCAACATCTAAGGGTTGTTCTCAGTACCCTTAGAAAGGAGAAGTTGTATGCCAAATACTCTAAGTGTGAGTTTTGGCTGAAGAAAGTGGCATTTTTAGGCCATATTATCACAGAGAGAGGTGTAGAAGTGGATCCAGCAAAGATAGCTGCAATTCAGAATTGGTCAGTACCAAAGAACCCATCAGAAGTTCGAAGTTTTCTCGGATTAGCAGGTTATTATCGTAGATTTATCGAAGGGTTTTCAAAGATTGCTCTCCCTTTGACAAATTTAACGAGAAAATCTGTGAAGTTCGAGTGGTCCGATCATTGTGAGAAGAGTTTTCAAGAGCTTAAGAAGAAGCTTACATCAACACCAGTATTGATTATTCCTGATCCTACTAGAAGTTTTACTATTTATAGTGATGCTTCAAAAAGGGGTCTTGGATGTGTACTCATGCAAGATGGTCAATTTGTTGCATATGCTTCGTGACAATTAAAACTGCATGAGCAGAATTATCCAACTCATGATTTAGAGTTGGCAGCGGTAGTGCACGCACTCAAGATTTGGAGACATTATCTATATGGTGGCCAATGTGAAATATTCACTGATCACAAGAGTTTGCAATATATATTCACTCAGAAGGAGCTCAATATGCGCCAAAGAAGATGGTTGGAGCTTGTGAAGGATTATGATTGCACCATCCAATATCATCTGGGGAAGGCGAATGTGGTAGCAGATGCTCTAAGTCGTAAAGTGAAGGGTGGATTGGCACATTGTATCACTCAGCAGAATCAACTTATTAATGAGTTTGCTCGGATGCAGATTGAAGTTGTCAAGACACTTTCTAAGGAGGTTACTGGAAGGGTTAACTCAATGAGTGTTCAGCCCATGCTGAGAGAAAGAATTCGGAAGGAGCAATCTTTCGATCAATTTGTTCGGAAGATGGAAGAAAAAGTTCAAGCTGGAGGAGTAGAAGGTTTTTATCGAGGTTCTGATGGAGCATTAGAGTTCAGAGGCAGGATTGTAGTGCCAAAGGTCGAGGCTTTGCGAAAGGAAATCTTGTCAGAAGCACATAATGCACCATATTTAGCTCACCCTGGAAGAACCAAAATGTATCATGACTTGAGAAAGTCATTTTGGTGGAAATGGATGAAGAAAGATGCAACAGATTTTGTGAAGAAATGTTTGGTCTGTCAGCAAGTTAAGGCCGAGCATCGGAGTCCATTAGGTCTGTTGCAACCAATAGAGATTCCTAAATGGAAGTGGGAAGAAGTTACCATGGATTTTGTTACAGGGCTACCTAAGTCATCAGAACAACATGACGCGATTTGGGTAGTAGTAGACAGGTTGACGAAAGTCGCTCGTTTTATGCCTGTAGCAATGACCATGTCAATGGACAAGTTAGCTGAAATTTATACTCGTGGAATTATTCGACTCCATGGAGTGCCTGTTACAATAATATCTGATCGAGATCCCAGATTCACTAGTAAATTTTGGGAAAGTTTGCATAAGGCAATGGGCACGCAGTTAAGTTTCAGTTCGGCTTATCATCTGGAGACAGATGGCCAGTCAGAGAGGACGATCCAGACGCTTGAAGATATGCTCAGAGCTTGTATTGTGGATAGAGGTTCCAAGTGGGAGAAGTGGTTGCCGTTAGTAGAATTTGCATACAACAACAGTTATCATTCATCAATTCGGATGGCTCCCTACGAGGCACTTTATGGCCGCAAGTGTCGTTCACCCCTTTATTGGGATGATGTTGGAGAAAAGCAAGTACTTGGCCCGAAGATGATCGAAGAAATTGTTGAACAAGTAGCCTGGATTCGAGAAAGGCTCAAGACTGCTCAAAGTCGGCAAAAATCTTAAGCTGACAAGCATAGACGAGATATGCAATTTGAGGTGGGAGATAAAGTTTTCTTAAAAGTTTGACCCATGAGAGGGGTTATTCGTTTTTGGAAGAAAGGAAAGTTGCATCCTCGCTATATTGGTCCGTTCGAAGTTCTTGAACGAGTTGGAGAAGTATCTTATCGATTAGCGTTACCTCCTGAGTTGGCAAGCGTGCATAATGTTTTTCATGTATAGATGTTACGTGCATATGTATGCGATCCAGACCATGTACTTCAGCATAATGAGATACAAATTCAACCAGATTTGACTTACGAGGAGTGACCTATAGCAGTATTGGACCGAAAGGTTCAAAGGCTCAAGAAACGAGATGTTCCCCTCGTTCGTATCAAATGGAATCGCCACGGAGATTCAGATGCCACTTGGGGGCAAGAAGCTGATATTAGAGCTCGATTTCCAGATTTCGAGTTTTGATGACAGGTATGTTTTTAGTTTCAGTATTCAGTTTCAGTATTTCCGAGGACGGAAATAGTTTTAAGGGGGGTAGAATGTAATATCCCATTCAGTTATTAGTAATAAGTATCAGCTTATTTCCAAGATTGAGCTATTTTGAGGCTTAAAAAGTTAAAATTTTAAAGTTTTAAAGTCACAAGGCTCGTGTGAGTAGCCACACTGGTCGTGTGAAGTCACACGGGTCGTGTGACAAGCCACACGGGTCGTGTGGCTCAAGGCACTATTCAAGTTTAGCTTCGTTTTATTCACACTGGTCATGTGACTTAAGTGACACGGGTCGTGTGAGTTCACACGGGTCGTGTGACTAAAGTGACACGGGTCGTGTGGCGTCACACGGGTCGTGTGACTAGTGACACTAGTCGTGTGACCGACAAAATTTCAGATTTTTATGATTCGAGTTTGATGCCAACTAAAGTGTATTTTGAGCAATTAAATATGCTTAGCTAAAAATTTGAAATGTTTGGTAAGGACTTGTTTAAGTGATTAATTTTTACAAGTTTAAATTGTTTAATTTGTTAATTTCTTCACTCCAAATATTTTATTCCAAAGTTTTGGCTATAAATAGAGGCTTCAAAAATCAGATTTTTACACCAAAGTAAAGTATCAAAGTTATATTGAGAGTTTAAGTGAGGAGAAGTATTTTGGAGTAAAGGATTTTCAAGATATTCAAGTTCATATTCAAGTTCATATCAAGTCTTTCAAATTTCAAGTCCTTGAAGGAGGTAATTCATGCTTGTATTTGATGATTGAATCATGTTATTAGCAAACCATGATTAGTATAAGTGATTCTTGTTAGAATTTAAGTATTTGATATCATGCATGAGTTTTAAGTTGAGTAATGATTTAGTTTATGTTGGCATAATAGTATCCATTTCATGTTATTGATATGAGTTATCATGATGAGAAGTTGATAAAGTTATAAGTTGATAGCTTAATATGATGTGTTATTCATGTTAAGTGTAAGAGTATGAGTTTCACATTTGATGATGAGTAAATTGATAAGTTTAGCATCAAAATGTTGATAAGCATATAATTTCA